ATATCAATTTTTCAAATAGATTTTCTGTTTTTATAAAATGATTATGTTGCTAATTATATTTGCAGGTTGCATATATAATGTTTCTAATGATTTTGATCAAGAAAAAATTAATGTCATTAATGCATTACAATCCGACAAGAGCACAACTTTGTATCTACCGTTCTTAATTATTGCCGTTATATTAATTATATCAACAATAATTGGAACGCTAGGTGTCTGTTATTATCTGCGTATTCGAAAGGAGGAGGTCAATTTATATATAAACTCGCAACAGGATGATATCGATTGTCTTAAATCTATCGATCTCGTCACTGAAAACGTTAACAAGGAAAGCGATAATATTCCTTTGTGTGACGATATCGTTCTTCTTTATACCAATGGTTCGACGTCTTTCATGGAATTGATGAAACATTTTCGTGAGACACTTGCTAAAATGTGTTTTTGTTCCGTAAGTTTTGCATTATATTAATAAACAACCATGTAACACGCGTCAATATATTTCTTAGTTAATAAGTATCTCTTTGTTAAAGTTTTTATATTTATATAATGCGAATTAATAAAATTTAAACACTAAGGATGTTTTTTACAACCATTGCTCTTGAAGGTGCATGACTGGCATGATGGAACTGTATGGAACGACGTGGCTAAAGTTGGTGCTGTTTTATGGTTTACCAAATTGCTTGATAAGGGATGCCGCATTGTTTGGGTAGATGTGCCAACTACGAGATCTGTCATAATATCAAACTCACAAATAGACCAGTCGAACTTAGATAGATATTATGAAATACATGATTTCCGCGACATGGCGTTTCGCGTCGTGCTTGAAGTGGCGAGAAACAAGATGAACGATGTCACGCAACAATATAATAGACATTTCGTTATAAGGTAACTACAATGATTTTTGTTAATACGATTTTTTATTAATGTCGTGATTGATATCATAGTGTATATGCTTTATTATTTATGGCATTATGCAGGTTTGATAACATGAATAATGTGAACGATCCGTTTCTGGATCTCTCTCCTAACGTGCGATATCGCATCCCCCAGCATCTTGAGCAATTGTGTTCAGACTTGTGAGTATACACATAATGCTCAATGCACAAATATTGTTTTATAAAATAATATAATAATATAATTGAAATATTTTTAGATTAATAGCGAAACAAGCAGTTTCGGAACACAAGAGTAAGATGGAAGATCTCTATCGTGTTTTCAGATTCCAACTTTATAAGTTTCAAACGCAACATCGTCTGAAATTTATAAAATAGAATCTACAACGTGAAATAAAAAGCACAAGATTATTTTAAGATTATATTAAGATCTCAGCATTAACCAAATCTACGACTGTACAACACAACGAGACTTTATTCGTGTTCTTTTAACGCGAAATGATCACAAAAGCACAAATTTGTTATGTACTACCTCAAATTGTATGTATAAAAATTGTAAATGTTATGCAATGCGCCTATTAATATCCTCTATTATAAGATTATTAGATTTATATATGTCTGCTGCTCGGTTTCTTCTTCAACAACATTGAAGAAAAGACAATTATTGCATTCTGTATTCTCAGGATTAATTTAAATTATTTCTTGAATTCTAGTTCCCACAGTCGCTCTGCGATAGTTTTAAGTTTTAACTTTTATACATTTATTATGTTGATTCAGAGATGTATATTTGACATATAATATATATTTTTAATAAAAATATTCTGCACTAAAATCCATTCGTTGTTATCTTGTAATTTATCCTCATTACAATACTTTTTATTTCGTTGCTACTTATCGCATATTCTGTAAAGTATATTTAATAAAAATTCATACAAATTATCCATACGATTTAAGAAAATGTAACATTTTCAAGAGTGCAATTGTTAGTCAAAAGTTTGGGATTTATCGCTTGTCTCGCTACGTTTCGAGTTACATTTCCTCTTAACTATGTATCTCATATCTTTGGGTACATTGATAGAAAAAGATGCCTAGGTATGATAGGCAAAATGCGTTTTTAAAATAACCATAAAATCACACGCTCTATAAAAGAATCAAGAGATCTTGTCCTTTAATACTTTTATAATATATGCATTCAGAACATTCCGAAAAAATTCACAAATGGCACACACACGTTTATATTATACAACATGTGCATGCGTGCGTGCGTGCGTGCGTGCGTGCGTGCGTGCGTGCGTGCGTGCGTGCGTGCGTG